GTCTCTCCGCGGATGAACACTATCGCGTCACGTGATCAATTTAAACTAATAAGAATCGGAGAAAATTTACTGGCTGATAGTGTGCAATGGCTCAGCCAGTCAGATCGCAGCATTTGCATTAGTATTCAGGTGGAATTATACTAAAATTCGATAGAAACACGGAACATGTTTTCTATTTCGTAGATAAAATAGACAAGGGATCTAACACTTTACAATCAACACAATTCAACTTAACGCTGTATAAAAGGTATATCAATAAAAAAGGAAACCAGAAATTGAAGCAAACCTTTAGTGGTCATGAAAGCAGGGGAACTCTCGTGTGCAAAAGGACGGGGAAGCTTGACTAAAAGTTTAAATCAAACCCCTAAAGGAGACCAATCTACGCGCTGCTCGAACTTTAACTTACCCCTTTAAAGATACTACCTTAAAATGGACATGAAAGCGTTTATTATTTTTTTGCCGTGAGCAACCTTAAAAGATACCTTGACGGCTAAAAATAGTGGCGTTTCGTCCTGAACACGCTGTGAGATCAAAATCCGCGATTTTACACCCACTAGGCAAGACGACAATTATCCTGTCCTTTTCACAAGGGAGTTCCCCCGGAAAAGCATTAGCCATCGAGTAAATGGATGCTGTAGTATAATAACAATGAAGCAAGGCTTCCAAAAAGAAACGAAACAACTAAACAAGCAAAAAGCCCTCTTGCCATTTTTTTTAAGTACTCCAAATAACACGACGATAACTATGTGAATGGTACACATGAATACCTCCTATAACTGTGATTCTGGCTGCGTTATCAGGATCAGTAAAACTTGGACCATTTCTGTTCCAGGCTGTCACCATAAGCTCGTAAGTTAAACAGCAGTTAAGCTTGAGTAAGCATCTGTTGTATGTGACATTTATTGCTGCCCATTTGCCCGCCATGGTGCTGTTGGTCGGTCTTACTGCTCGGTACCACACAGTAAACATGATCACTTCCGCTCCACCATTATCATCAGGATAATCCCACGTGACCAAGAAACGTGTGTGATTGATTCTGACGTCAGTGAAATGGAGCTGTGGAATAGCTGGACGACCTGGAATAAAAAAAAAAGTCTCGTTTTCCGACTCGAAAATAATTAACATACCTAAAGGTCGTTAGTCCACGGTGTGAACAGTGAATGGAGACAGAATTTTCCCCCAACGAATTATCCTACAACTCAGAGCAAATAAGCAATGGAAAATCATAAATACATTTTGGTCCGAAAAAAGTGAGAATATGGCGGCAAAATCTCCATTAAAATTTCGTTACATAACAACATAATCTCTCATCATTTCACCACATTGACAGCACACCAGAATGCTCGCGATATTAAAAAGTAAGATCTGGAAACTCGTTAGTGCTCCCAAGCAGACTTTTTCCAAATCTTCTAAAGACGAGTTGCGTGTTTCAAGCATAACAAGAGATCAAAACAGAAAGTTGCAATTCATTCCGATCAAATAGAAAAAAAAAAAGAAAGGGCCCCTCCTTTACTTAATAACACAAATTGTTTGGAACCAATAAAATATAAATTCTTTATGTGATTTGAGGTGTAATTTACTTTCTCAATTGTGATAGAAATAGAGCGTCCCCATGGACCCTTTTCATAAATGGCTGCCAATTTAAAATTCTTTTGTTTGCATTTAAATTAACCTTAATAACCTCGTTTCAGAGTAAAAATTCTTTTGAATTACCAACTTCAAAATGAGGTTAGTAAGGCTAATTTTAATACTTGCAAAAGAATTTATAATTAGCCGCCATTTATGAAAGTTTAACTCACCTTCTATGGGCGTTTTCACTTGCTTTTCCTCTGACACGTTGCTGTTTCCAGCCACATTAGTGGCGTACAAACGCACACCATAATGAGTTCCCTTTTTCAGATCTCTCAATATAAAATAATTGCTCTTCGCGCTAAATTTGAAATCTTCCCACTTTTTGAACTGGGCTTGTTTATTCTGTATTTGAAGGACGTGTCCTGTGATTGGAGTACCTTGCTTAGAGGGCGGAATTTCCCACGTCAATTTGATGGCATTGTAATTGACGTCGATATTTGTGATGATTGGAGGGCTTGGTGGACCTGAAAAATTTCCAGTAATGCTTCAAAGCTTTTCATACGGAAAGACGGGCTCATGATTTATGGTGTAAACTAAACTACCAGAAGCACAGAGGCGGTCCGATCATTTGTACCCATTTTGCGTTTTCGTTACACTCTCAAAAATATCTAAAGAAAAAGAAATACTTCCAATTGAATGAATATTTTCAGACGCAATGTTCAAATTAAGCGAGCCATGTAAGATATTAAGATCGGAACACAACAGACATTTTTTTCCGGGGATAATACAAACAGAAAGGAATCCTCTCTCTCTGGAAATGTTTTAAAACTTGCGCGATGCACTAATTATCATCCCACACAGAGGACGTAACAGTAGTGTTGCTTACCGTTAAGGAGGCCTGTTATAGGTTTGGGTACACGAGTAAAAGAGGAACTCGTCCTGTTGATCACTGATGTACTGTTATGTACATGAATACTTACTAATAGGCTTTAGCAAAAACATTGCGCTGTCATGGCCAATTAAGTTTTTGGCGATGCAAGTATAGTTTGTAAAATCGGAATCTGCTGACGGAGTAATCGTCAACACACTGGCGTTGCCAAACTCTTCGTCCTTGATCAGTTGGTTGCTTCCAGCTCGATCCCATGAATACGCTGCAGCAGGGTATCCTACAGCGACACATTCCAGTCTGGTTGGATTTCCTTTCCATGACAACACAGTCCGAGTCTCCGACGGAAAAATAATCGTGGGGGCATCTACATTAATAAACAAAGAGTTCGCAATAAGCTCGATGAATAATAATTTCAGTTCACCTTTTTTTAGGAGAAAGCAATTGCAAAGTTGTTTCATCTACAAAAACCTCCGCTGGACAAGCAACACTTAAGTTGAGCAATCAATGGCAAAAACAACCCCTTGCCAGAAAGCATCAAAACAGCGAGGTCGGATGGAGCTTAACGATAGGACAAAAAAATACTGTGCCGCAAATTTTGTGTCCAATCAGAGACCAGGATACTAAAACGCTCTGGAACTAGTGCGATAAGACTAACATTCCATGGGCAGTTAAGCTGTTCTTGTAAACTGTTGTTGCGCCGATTCTGCTGCTCGGTTTAAAGAGTCTGGATGGGATTTAACTAATTAACTAAGTGAGCTGAGAAATAACGTGCTTTTTAACTGATAGCTAATAAATCAACTTATATAGCACTTTTTGATAAATTTCTCAAGGAGCTTTAAATGGCCAATTGTCTCTATGAGACGCGCCTGCAGGGGATCACGGTAATTGTATTCATTAAAACAAATATCCAGTCCAAGATGATGAATACAACTACCATGATTCCCCGCGGGTGCATCTCATAGAGGGAATTGGCCATTCAGAAAACTGGTTTAAAACCAAAATTCAAAATTAGAAAATACTTACATTGTACATGTACATGAACCCCTGGGCTGGTAACACTACCAAGCTGATTAGATGCACGACATGAGTAAACCCCCGCATCCGACACTGACACTTCCTTAACATGATAAAGACGCTCAGTTTTATCTGGTATTATTCGTCCATTTCTGATCCAGTTTATCTTTGGAGCTGGTTTTCCTTTAGCTATACACACAAGATTGAGTTGTTCTCCCACGTTATAGGGGCTTCTCACTCGAGGGAAACTCACAATTCGTGGATACTCTGTCAAAAAAGGCAGCTATTTTAACAAGGATTCAGCTGTCTGTCAAAATCAAACTTAAAAAGTTTATTTGTGTCCAACACAAGTATTGACTGTAGTTTGAGGCGTGTTTTCATGAGTCTGGGCTCGCAAAGAGTTTACAATAACTTGGAATGCGTTCTTGTAATAAGTATTAAATAACGCTAAAATGATACATTTTCAATGCCTCACTGCTCCTTAACGAGCATGGGCACCCACCTTTTTTATTTTATAATTAAAGTTCTCATATGATACATATTCATTGGACAAAGTTTGAACAAAAATCTATGTGCAGTTTTATTTCAGGGGAATTACCTTAAAGTATGTAAATTGTAAATACAAATTAGTGTGTTGGCAGTAAATGCAAATCAGGTTTTTCTCTGATATAGATTATGGTGATAGTTCTTTAACTTCTATTTATAGCTAAAATATCTCGCTAATAAAGGAGCTGATCCTTAGAGAAATATGTGCAGTTCCGAGAATGCCATCAAATGTGAGATATAATTCTACAAATTTAAACCACGATGAAACCAAATTGCAAAACATCAGTTCTTGCTGCCTAAGAAAATATTAGTTAATGTTCGAATTATTCAACTCCTCTGTTGCAAATCACGTTATTGTTTAGTCAGGGTTACTTTATTTATGCGATAAAGACAACACAAATGAAAAGTCTTACCATTAACTGTAAGAAACACTTGACTTTTTAAATGTTTCCTTGTGTTTCCCACCTCAATTTTAATTTCGTAATATCTCTCATCTTGAAGAGTGACGTTACACAGTTTAAAACTGCAATGTTTCGTGTGATGGTAATTTTGTGTTTTGCCGACTTTGGTTTCGTGTGACACTAGCAGACGATTAGCATATTCTTGATCAGTGGACTGAATTCCGTTGCTGTCATTCCTCCACAGGATCCTATGCTTGTGATGCTTGTAAGTTGGACAACTAAACTGCACCGCTTTGACTAAGTTTCTGTCTTGATCACTAAGACGATATCCCCAGTTAAATTCAGCCACGTGACCAACCGTAATGTTATTTAGTTGCGGGACTTGAAGAAACATTGACGTGTTTACCATCACAGATGGTTTCTGTCAACAAAGGAAAATCATATATTCCTATTATTTAAAGTTTTCAGTCTCGAATATAAAAAGATAATGAGCGAAATGAGCTGAATTTACATTCGCCATAATGAACACGATCCCTCCCAAGTTAGTTTAAGGTGGCTGAACACAGTTTTTGATACCTGTGTCTCATTCACATTTTTCTCTAAAACCCTTGATACCGCGGTCGCCAAAAATGGCAGCAAGCAAGTTAACAACACAAACTTTGGTTTCCTGATGNTATATCCAGAATTTGGTTCGACTCTGGCACGACGTCTGAATCAGAGTTGTTTTCCAGCCGTGCTACAGTCAGACCTAATTGCTATTTAGTTCGGCACGACAGACGCACGACGTCTGAACTGGGCCTTAGTTTCCCTTCGACTGATCTCAACTTTCATCTAAATTCATGCCAGCATGAAACATCGAAATTTCCATGAAAACGAAGCTAAATTAATTGTTGCCCTCGGGGGAGTCTTTGTTTTTGGTTAGGGATATTTGCATATAAGGAATTGTTAGTGCAGCACATGTTTAAAGTGTAGTATCCGTCTTCGTCTTCAAGGACGCGTGGATGGAGAAGGAATCAGTATCAGAAACCGAGAAAAATCAGCAGCCGATGGTTAATACAGGTGAAACTATTTCTGTACATCAAACAAAATGCGTTTTTGAAGGAAACTTTAGATATCTTGCGTTACCCCTTGGACTCAATTCCGAGAAAAACTGGAATGCTTACTGAAAACTTTACTTCCGCTTAACTTTACTACGATTAAGAAATTCTTTAATATGCACACTGTTTTATTATGTGTATCATACGCGTTCCCTCGAACACCTCTGTGTATCTGCAGCTGTGTAGAACGCGTTAAATCGAATAACATGTGGTGTCAGTCCAACTTAGACAGCATTTGGCTCGTCACGCAATCCTGCATAGGGTCTTATCTGGGGGTTTCTTGGAAACGCTGCTCTCCAGACTCATAGATATTGGTAAAATTATTTATGCTACTAAAAATGCAACTTGGTATAAATTTTATCTGTTATTACATTGTAGTTATAAATGTTCTACTTAAGTAACTCATGAGTGAAGAACAGTCGGCACTAGACTGTTCGACTTACATGTTAGTTGCTCAAGGCTTTTCAGTGTTGACAAAATACGCAAAGCGCCATCCTTTAATCAACCGGACCAAATCAATTTCAACCATTTTCATTTATAAGAGTTTTGTCAGTATTAGCTTGATTTATACTAGAGACGGATCATGCGTCCAAAATCCGTCAAGACGAAAAGTCAGTTTAGTATAATAAATACTAGGTGGATCATCCGTCTGGGACGAACTTGGCCAAAGAACTTTAGTTCGTCTGATAATTTGTCTTTGTATAAATAAGGGCAAACAAACGCATCATCCTTCCAGACGAATTGTCCAAGGTACATCTTAAACAATCAAGGAACGGCTAAATTATTACCAATGTACTGTTCCTCACCGAATCAAACCCGGAAGAGAATTTCACTATCAAGGATTGCCGCGGTAAGTTTCGAATTTACACTACCAGCTTCTGCTGATCAGTTTTATGAACAACAATGGCAACAGTAGAGCTTTTAAGGAAGTTAACGGAAGTAGAAACTAACATACCTTTCAAAAAAACTGGTTCAATAGCCAAGAGATATAATAACCCGCGGAGTCTCATTCTCTTTGTCAAACACACCTCTTGCTCGTGTTCGACGATAACAACACTCGGCTTCTCCGCTGAAACCGAAAGTTGCGACAAAAGACACCATTACCTGTTTTCGAATTCCTTTATTTCCGAGAAGAATCAACGTACAAATATGGCAACATATTTCCAAGAATGCTTAATGGCTGACGTCAGCTAGGAAGGTAAGCAGGTCGAACCCCGGAAGTCCTAACCACTCGGCCCCATGCCTCCGTGTTTCTCAACTTTTGGTGATCATGAAGCCACTAATGGAACTACTAGGAACCAAACGAACTACATAAAAGATCCCTACATACAAGCTACTTATCATGTCATACGAACAAATTACATACCGTATGCTTAGGATATAACAGTTTGGCTTATACCAAGTAACTCCCCATGAGGTGTTTAGAAGCACGCCTTACCTCACGCCTCAAGCGAATACTCAGGCCACACCTTGCCTTAAGCTGGAAAGAGAGATATCATCAACTTATCAGCGACTTTTGGGGTGGTTTGTTTTGCATATTTCTACTCTTCGAACGATTCCAGAGTATCTGGTTTTGATGTGTTTCTGTTTCGTTAGCCCTGCTTTGACCGTTTTTAGTTTCCAAGGTAATTCGTTTGTCATCTGTGGCTTGTGATTGAGTTCTGTACCTTATCAATTTTCACTGTTGTAAAAATATGGCTTAATGATTTTCGAAACCCTGTTACGCTGGTTTTCTTTGATTCTTAAAATAGGGAATAGCAACTTTGTTGTCAGTCAAAATAAAGCTTTGACTTTGATTCGAATTTGTAATTGTCGTAATCGCGTTGTTTAAAGGAACAGCTGTATCCTGGAAGTTTAGTGATCACAAAAAAGTAGTAATAATACTGAACAGAATGATGTACATATGAAGAAAAGGAAAAGTATATTGTAAAATAAGCGGAAGAAATTAATTGCAATTTTCTTTGGGATCAAATCATTGACCCTTTTAACGTCCAATTTCCCTTTCATGTTTTGTTAAAAATTTAATTTTAAAAAACATGATGTATATATTTGATGTTAACTATTTCTAGCTATTTCTTTGCGGGATCCACATCACAAGCTATACCTTCTTTGGACTCCACTCAATTTACACCATCACAGTTCTTAATATAGTCAACCTGCAAGTTATGGTGAAAATCAAAATATATTTGCATTGATTGGTTGATGGATTGATACATACTCACATCGCAGTGAGTGTGCAGATGTTAACTTCCTTCTCAGTCATATAAATAGCAGATTCAAGCTTCAGCGAAAGTTGCACCAACGATTATTACGGGTTATGCAAATGACAAAGTGTTCGCTCGCGTTTACAAGTCATCGCCGTATTCCCAAATCATTAAATGTCAAATTTCATCGTTTGTTTCGTATTTCCTATGTTATTCATATGCTATTTCCTATTTTCTGCCCTTAAGGTGGCTCAAAACAGTTTCCATAACTTAGATTGTGATGGGTCGTTATAACCACTCTTTATCACTTGATGCTAAAATCATGGTATCAAAAAAACTGCCCAATCAGTAGTGAACATGTCATCATTTTTGTGACACAATAGGCTACCATAGCAACAGTATGACTTGCTAAAAAGACCCACAGTTATAGCTTTAGGGGCTTATAATTCAAAAAAAGCACGAGGAAATCTTATGTTAACAAGCAACTTTTGGTTAAGTTTTGAAAAACTCTGTACATAGGGTTCCGAACCACCTAAATCGCGTTTTGGAGATGTTTTCAAGCCTACTACAAATATCATCAATTCGTCGACGACCCTGAAGTAAAATCAGATGTCACAGCATATTGACAGATAAAAAGGAATTCGACGAACGTTTTGAAGAATGGTCGCGATCCGTTCAACGTACCGCGAATGAAACCTCAGTGTAGTTCCTCGTCAAGAAGATAGTGATAATGTTGAATCACAGATCGTCACACGTTCACTAGTCGGCTCAAGTAGCAGAAAGTCAAAGAGCTCCAAAACCAGTTCACGCGATAAGTGATAAGTGATAGATCAAGAAAGACTAAAGCTGAGCTTCTTCGTCGTGAAGTTGAATTAAAGAATTTGTTAAAGCGCCAGGAGGTGGAACGTCAAATAGCCGAGATGACAACCCGAGAAGATGAATTCATGCGCCGGATTGCTTTATTAGCAGCAGAAGGGAAAATAGAGAAAGTTAAAGCTGTTGATGAACTTAATGAAACCTCGGAATATTCAAAACATGATATCGAGGCAGAGTTGAAACCGGTTTACACAGAGCTAGCCCGTGACTCCTTTCCTCCTGCGAAAGAGCCTCAGGCTAGATTGATCTTTAAGAATGGCGACTTCAAGCAAGTTGGGAGAAACTATTCTAAATCAGTGCTGAACCCAAGTGCACAACCTTGGGCCCCAGGACCTCCGCAGAACACCATCAGTGGTGGGGACCTGACTGGTTCCCAACAGTTGCAACAAATATTAACACACCAACGAGAAGCTTTGCAGCTTATGGCGTACACAATTCGACAAGGATTTGAAAAACCCAAAAGAGAGCTTTTGACCTTCGATGGTAACCCGCTTAACTACTGGCTGTTCATAAACAACTTCGAGGTCAACATCTTTAAGAGTGTACCGGACACCAAGACGAGGCTCGCTGATCTTATTGAACACTGTACTGGGAAGGCTAGGGAAGCCATTAAGAACTGTGCCATAATTTCGGGACCAGAACAAGGCTACAGGAAAGCTCAAGGTATCTTGTACCATAGATTTGGACAGAAACACGTCATTGCGCGTCATCGCGCACATCGCAAAGATAGTGGAAGGTCCTCAGATTAAGAATAATGACGTGACTGGTTTATCAGACATGTCCGTTGAAGTGCAGAATTGTGCGCTGACCTGGGCTACAAGGCATATGTTAACAGCTCGGACAATCTCGTAAAGATGGTGAAGCGCCTCCCGGCTCATCTGCAGTCTAAATGGGCGGACAGAGCCGGCTCCTTAACCCAAATGGAACTGAACCTACCTTAATGCATTTAACCGGTTTTGTTGAAGAGAAAGCTTTGTTGACAAACACTACGTACGGTCAAATAGTTGGGTCGATACCAGACAAACAACGGAGCTTTAAGCCACCACCCAAAGTAAAGCCACCTTCCTCGAAGGGAAATACCATTGCAACGCAGTCCGAAGGGGTCACAGACGGTCCTTAAGCGAACACAACTCCTATCGCAATTTGTCCTTTGTGTTCTAGTCAACAAAGACTGTGGATATGAGAGCATGATAGCAAAGAGCCCAGAAGAAAGAAAAAGCTTTGTTCGACGA